ATTTTTATTTACATTTTCTCATAGGTATTAGGATTTTGTATCATGCAACACGAGTACCTAACTAATCAATGGTTACAAAACTGTAATTTTCGTATCAAAATAATTTATTTATGCATTTATGAATGAAATACTTTAAGCTTACTTACTATTTATCCGACAGTCATAAATTAAAGCAAAAAGATAAACAACTTGCAAAACCATGTGTTATTGTGGTATAAAATAATATGCATTTAAGTATTGGTATTGTTTGGTTAAAATGGACAACTTTGTTGAAGTCGAAGTCAAAGTCAAAGCATTTATTTCAATTAAACCATAATTTAGTACTTTTGAAACGTCAACAAGCTCACCCCCTATTACATGGGACTCATAACATAAATAGTGAAAAGTGGGTGTTACATTGTACAGTGGCATTAAGTGCCGTAATATGCACCTCTGCCTACCCCTTCGGGGATAAAAAGGCGTGATGTTATGAAACCTCAACAAATACAAAATAAATAATAGTCTGTCAGTCAGTCCGTCAGTGAAGCTAGGTGAAGCTAGGTGTTCATTCCAAAATGTAGATTCGAATGGAGAAGAACGAACAAGAAACTAAATTCGTTACTCTTTTTAAAAAAAGTATGTTCTAAGATTGTTCTGATACATATTCCAATACTGTACGTATATGTGAGAACAATGCAAAGACACGCTTGACGCATTATACAAATTACAAAACTTGGTAAATAAAAAACAAAACAAAAAAAATTTTGACGTTCCAAAGGCATTGAAAATCATAAACTTTAAGCATGTAATGAGTAAGAATGATCTGAAACTGTGGCAAGCTATCGAGAGACTGGCTCTCCATAACATTTCAGCTAAGGATGATAACTTTTTCATGTACATACATGCCACTCATGCCAGACGAATTATCATCTCGTAAATTTGTTCATACAAAAGTAGTCTCTAAACATCGGAAATAAGGTCTATAATGTAGTTAGTGGAGAGCGGTCACCGGTGACCGCTTGGGGATAAATGGGTCTGCAAACGAATTCAATAAATTGCATAGTTATTTGTTCGCAGCGAGATGGAAGGATGTAGGTATGTCGTGAATGTGTAAGATTTTGTGAAAAGATGGATGGCTGATGAATTAGTTTTAAGTAATTATAATTATTGTTCCTTTTTTATAGGATACCTATTACATAAGTGTAAAATAGTAAATATAAGTAACATTTTTTAATGTTTAACTGTATAATATTTTGGCTTGTGCTGTAAAATTATACATGTGCTTATAAATAAATAAATAAATAAATAGTTTCTGAACAAAAATTCAAGACAAATTTTCTCTAAATTAAAAAGGAAACCGATCAAACAATTGTATTTATTAGTATAGATATTGTGACATAATTGAATAGATTTAATACCGATAATTGTGTACGTATTTTTATGGGACCTTTCCCTGTTCCTTAACAGAGAAGCATACGAGCAGACAGATCAACATGGTAAGCAATCAGAGCCGTCCATGGTTGTCCATCACCCGCAATACGAGAGGATTTTCAAGTCCGCTGTCATGTTTCGGTGGGCTTCAGTGTTTCGGTGTTTTCACGGTTGTATCTTTTTTTTACACACGTTGCTCACACTAGGATTTCTCCAAGTTCACATACACATGACACCCAGACCCGGAACACACAAAGAGAAGAAGAGAGAGGGAGAGAGAAAAGGAGAAAGAGAGAGAGAGAGAGAGAGAGAATAGATTTTGGCATAAACAAGTAGCAGCGGTTTTGGGAGTTTTTGATCGGCTTGTCCTATAAAAAAAGTGCTCTGCCAGACTCTCAGGAAGGTAAAACACGACACAAGCGTTGTTTCACGCTAGTGTTAGAATTTGAAGGTTATTTTCGTCTCTGATTACTATTCAAGCGATTGACGGCAATGAATACATTTATCTAGAATGCCTTATAAAAAGTATTATAATAATGATTTATGAGAGGGCAACTCCACGTAGGCTTATGATGAGGTTGTTATCATTCACTAGTGTCGTGATGTGGCTTTGCTCAAGTTATTTTTGGTTGAATTTCTACTAAAAAGTTATATAAAGGATTGTTATATGCCAGAAGCGAGTATGAGGTCTACAGTTTAAACTGTCAAATACCAAGCGGTCACCGGTGACCGCAACCTATTGTTTTATAATTGTGTCTACAAAACCGGTACTCGACGAGTTAATACCTAATCTCTGATCCGAAAAATATTGGATGCCTTATCCATGGTCCAAAAATCTCTATTTTCCTCTCTTAAGAAGTCTTTCTTAAATCTCTAATCACCACATAGTCTTAATAGAAGACTAAAGAACAAAAATAAGGGAAATGTAGGAGCATAATGTGATCACACACGCGAATATTAAACTGTCAAACACCAAGCGGTCACCGGTGACCGCAACCTATTGTTCTTTAGTTGTGTCTATATTGACGGTGCTCGACGAGTTAAATTAAAAAATAACTAGAAGATAAACACAATGATAATTGATAATACCTATACATCAGGTCAGGCGATTGATTGATTGTCAACACGTAATTATTAACTGTCAATATTAAACCCTAATTTACGACGTATAAAGATTAAAATTAAATAAACTATAAAAAAATACGGCTGTCTATTCATTAATACCTATTAACGGCTTATGTTGTGACATAGACAGGATTAAAACTGTGACGTCATACGACGAGAATTTCGTATGGGCCTGCCCTAGCGGAGTGATACCACGACTTCATAGAAGATGGCGTGAAACAAAGTCTGCGTTGTGTTTCACTTCTTCCGCCCCCCCTAAAACGGCGCCGGCAGCGCACATATTGCTTCTGGTGTTGCAGTTGTCCGTGGGTAGTTTATAGATCGATCACACCCACACACACATTACACTTTTTATCCCCGAAGAGGAAGGCAAGGGTGCACATTACGGCACTTAATGCCACTGTGTAATGTAACACCCACTTTTCACTATTGCCATATACCGGGCACAATTCCAGACTCCATGACGACTATAACTGAGAATTAAATAAGTAATACTTTGAAAAAGAGTAACCTATGGAGGTTCTTGCTCGTTTTTCTCCATAGGAATCTACACCTTGGAATGAGCAAATAGCTACACTTTTAATTATATTGTTGACGTTCAAAAGTGCCTTTCCGGTCTAATTGAAATAAATGATTTTGACTTTGACATCATTACCAGCCCGTATTCGTTCACAGCTGGACATAGGCCTCTGCAATGGCACGCCACTGAGCTCGGCCTTCAGCTCTCATCCAACCACTGCCAGCCACCTTGCGGATGTCGTCACTCCACCTAGCTGTAGAGTGCCCTACACTACGTTTGCCTAGACGCGGTCTCCACCTTAGAACACGTTTACCCCAACGGTTATCGGTTCTTCGACAAATGTGACCGGCCCACTGCCACTTCAGCTTACTGATCCTTTGGGCTATGTCGATAACTTTAGTTCTCTGTCGGATCACTTCGTTTCGGATTCGATTCTTCAAAGAGACTCCGAGCATAGCCCTCTCCATAGCTCGCTGCGCGATAACTGATATATCCCATGAAAAAGATGACGTCCCATCATCGTATGACGGTATAAGCTACAAAGTTGCACTCAATGTCGCATGACGACGTTGAGTGCGATTAGGTTAATCGTTACTAATTTCGACTGTTACTTCTCATACCCAACTCTGTGGCGTGCGATTGTGGAAAAGAGCAGTCATGGTTTGCCCTGAGAATCGAATGCAAGACCCCTAGCTCAGCCAACGAGGTAGTTCTTTATCTATTTATCTAATTTTATACAACGGCAGGTAACCCCCTCGGAATTTGGTTAATGAATAACAATAAGATTATATAATAATCTTTCGTTATCGATATAAAGGTATAACCTGATCAAATGCAATAAACTGCTCAAGATTACATTTATTGCATCTTTGATTAAATAACAGTATAAATAATAGAGGTTTGCAATATTTCTACCAAATTACCCGACGGTAGGTAAGTGGACAATAAATTTTATTATACGAACGCACACACGTAATATAGATATTGCAAAAATATCTTTATTTAAATGTCTTTATTTAATTCCAAAACTATTGGGATAAAGTCAATGTAAATGTTTTGCATACCGTAATGAAACTATTGTGTCCCCACTGGTCTCTGGTTCACTGATAACATTGAATCAGCATTGTATTGCAATGTCGCGGAGAACCTAACGGGTTACCTGGACTCCGGTTCGACGTGCAGCAGAAGGAACGGGGTGGTTTTTAGTCAGTAAGAGTCTGACACTCCCCCCCGCCTCGCCCAGGCAGGAGCAGTCATTCGATGATTTTCCCCCCTTAAAACAATTGTATTACAATGATTCATATGTCAACATCTACACCTACTTTAAGATATTGTAAAACATATTATGAGTCACCAAAAATAAAAGCAGCAAGCAAAGATATTTATGTAAAATACAGTCAAGATACTAATGCATAGGTACAAAGGACGTTATCAACGACATTATCTACCATATATAACAAACTATTTTCCTATTTCCTTCAAAGAAATCACGAAGATGAAATTCCTGACTGTATTCGCTCTCCTGGTGGCGGCCGTGGCTGCTGACTACAGCCACTGGTCTCTGCATGAGCTCTCCGAGGCCATCCAGAACCCTAACACTGACCCCGCTCTGCTGCCCGCCTTGGAGGATGCCCTCAACCAAATGATGGACCAAATCTTCGCTGAGAAACCCGTGGTAAGTGCTTTTCTGCTATGTTGCCATGTGGAAGATTGATTTAGTATGCCGGTAATCCTTACTATTATAAATGGGAAAGTGAGTTTGTTTGTTTGTTCCGCTTTCACGCCGTAACTTCTATACCGATTGCTTTGAATTTTTACAGACGTAAAGTTAGAAGTCCGGATTAAATAATAGGGTACTTTTTATCCCGAGAAAATTTGATATTCCCGAGGGAAAACAAAAGTATTGGTATAGATGGCGCTGTGTGTATTGGTATATGTCACATTGGCTTTTTATCCTTTTGTGACGCGAGCGAAGCCGCGGGTAAAAGCTAGTTCAAAGGTGTTGTTATTACAAAAAAATATTTTCTATACACTTTATGGATTATATACAGAACGTAACCTAGTTGTCTTCAAGGTCTGAATGAATTGCTTATGGGCAGGAGTACTCTACCGTAGACCATATTATCGCTTACCACCAGGCGAGATAGCGGCTTAAGTCGGCCAAGAAGAACATTTCTTTACTAATGTGCAGTAAAATGTCCCCTGCTCATTTTGAGTAACATCGAATATAATTCACAGGTACCTGCTGACGCCAACGCCCCCGTTGACCTGACTGGATGGACCCTCCACGACCTGGTTGCCGCTATGGAGAACCCTGAGACCGACCCCGCTCTCATGCCCTACCTCGAGCACGCCCTCAACGAAATGATGGATGCTATCTACGCTGGTATCCCCGTGGTGAGTTTGTGACCTTTAAAAAGCTGATCATTGCTCAGTTGCATTTGCGTCAATTTTTAATACTGACCATATAACCATAATAAGTCGGTACTGAATCTGATGTCGTAAAGTCTCAGTTATACATACACACATCAACCTTAGAAATCTAACTCTACGAGTAATTTTACAGCTAAAACAAGGCAGTAGATGTATATAGTAGGTCTTCTGTTTCATCAGCACTATCTTCATCACCTCATTTCCGTATACTGGACAGTGATCGTTATTATAAGAACAATAAGGTCTGTAATTGCCTAACCTGCTTGTATTACAGGAAGCCGTCGGTGTTCCCCCCGTATCCATGGAAGTCTCCCACTGGACTCTTCCTGAGCTTTCTGAAGCCCTCCAGAGCCCTGAGACCGACCCTGCTATGATCCCCTACTTGGAACATGCTCTTAACCAGATGATGGATGCTCTTTACGCTGGACACCAGTTGGTAAGGATAAATTTGAAGTCAAAACCTGTACGGTTGGCGCGGTGGCTGGGCTAGCTGCCGTGCAACGTGTAGCGGGTTCGATTCCCGCACGGAACAACATTGTGTGATCCACAAATTGTTGTTTCGGGCCTGAGTTTCATTTATATGTAAAATTATATGTTTGTAAACGTACTCACGACACAGGAGAAAATCTTAGCCTAAGTCTACGTAAAATAAACAAGTTGAAGTAATATGATTCTTTGTACAGACACTTTAAGATGTCAAAATGAAATTGTCCATAAGTCAGTTCAAAGTCTATACTTTGAACAAGTCTAGACTAGAATTTAGAATACTTGTAGCAACCAATGCGATTGCTTTCTTTATCGTAAAGGGCTGTAAGCTGTAAAGTTCTTCAAGTTCAACTTAAGCAGTATGCTTAGTTTGCCTATTATTATTGTATATACTGCATGGAGCTAATAACCTACTTTGACAACTGGTTTGTTTAGGAGCAAATCATTGTTCTATATTGATTTCGCTTTTCGACCTTATCAAGAAAACTGACTTTAACACTACTTATATTTTCTTCCAGGAATCTATTGCCATCGTCGCCCCTGCCGGTCTGGCCCCTGCCAAGCCCGAGATCGTCAACCCCGTGCCCGTTCCCATGCCTGTGGTACAGCCTGCAGAACCCGCACCCATTGAGACCCCCGTCCTCCCCGAAGCTGCCCCCGTACCTTCCAGCCCCCTTGTCCAGATCATCGTCAACATCAACCAGCAATAAATTAATATCGGAATTATTTGAATAGATGACTTTCTATACAAATAAATGAAGCTATTATTGTTCATATGTGGTCTGTTTTGTTATTGAGATATATTTATTAAAAGTCAAAGTCAAAGTAATATAATCCTATTGAAGAACACCAACTTTCCTTTCCTTCTTTGTGATGTGTTGCGTAAATATATGTATTGTTGCTATTAGACTACCGTCAGTGTATACTTTTTAACACCTATCTTTAGCAAACCACACACTTACTACTAATATACTAATACTTTCTTCTATTGGATAAAAAAGCTTAATGACAAAATTATCCCGAAACACATTAATCCACTATTAAGATCGAAATAGTAACAAATGAAACGATTACAATTGCATACAGAAATTGTACAATGTACGTACAGTACATTCATTTTAATATTCCAACTAAATCCTCGCATTATATTTGTCATTGGAATAGGAAACAAAAATAAATAGTTAATAGACAGACATGTAGTTGGTTATTGCGGCTTACTGATAACAGGATAACTAAACCATACCATCCAAATAGAAATGTTAATGTTTTGTCAGTCGAATGGTAACCGCAAATCACAAAATGAATGGAGATAGCATTAAACTGTTTGAAAATAGAATATTCAACGATTAATACATATTTAATGAATATTTTTTTTATAAAACGTTGCCGGGACACTAGGATTTTCTCCCGTGTCGTGGGTGCGTTTACAAACATACAAGTTCACATACACAATGACACCCAGACCCGGAACAACAATTTGTGTATCACACAAAGTGTTGTCCCGTGCGGGAATCGAACCCGCGACACGTTGCACGGCAGCCGGTTGCCCAGCCACCGCACCAACCGTGCAGTCAGTTTGCCTTATTGATCTTAGCCTTTAATCAAAATTATTTGTACTTAAGATCTAAGTAGGTACCTAAATTATAGCCACAAAGTCTATGCTAACTTAAATTAAACTTGGGGACTATTCACGAAAGCTCAAGTTACTTTGGTGTCTTATGTCATTTACAACAGTCGTTACGTGTCAGATGCTCAGAAGTCTAATTATGTCTATCGTAAATGTAATGATTTAAAATTATTAGAATTCTTTATTGGTTGATATCATAATCATACAGGTCGTGGTGGCCCAGAGGTTTAAGACGCCCTCGTCTCATGCATGAGGATGCGGGTTCGAAACCTACGAACGGCAAGTACCAATGTGACTTTTCTGAGTTATGTGTACTTTCGTAGATTAGGTACCTATACATCACTGACAAAAGGTGAAGAAAAATATCGTGAGGAAAGCTGGGCTTATAATTTCTAATTATAAGTTTGTAATCGCCAACCCGCATTGAGCAAGCGTGGTGATTAATGCTCGAACCTTCTCCGTGTGAGAAGAGGCTTTACTCAGCAGTGGGCATTTATAGGCTGTTGATGATGATGATGATGATGATGATGATGATGATGATGATGATGATGATGATGATGATGATGATGATGATGATGATGATGGGGCTCACCCCCTATTACATGGGACTCATAACATAAATAGTGAAAAGTGGGTGTTACATTGTACAGTGGCATAATGTGCACCTCTGCCTATTCCTTCGGGAATAAAAGGCGTGATGTTATGTATGTAATGTATTATCAAATAACAATTTTTCCGATTACCTAAAAATAGGTTAACAATTTTCTAAAGCCCTTGTTATCGGAAATTGCATCGAGATTCCCTTGTTTGGCGGTAGCAATCACAACCGCCAGCCAACCAACGAGTCAGTAGGATATTGGAAAGCTATAATCCTCTTAAATATAATTACCGGTATAACATGTGGAATCATTCAGCGCTTACTGAGCAGTAAATCCATTTCGATTCAATACAATCCGATTTTCAGTTCCGGCTTATTGTCAAATTTTTATCCCAATGTTATTAAAGTATTTTTTTGATGATGTACTATGTAATTGGGTAGTTTTTAGTTCAATACAATAACATATTACAAATAATCACACTTTCATTAATTGATTTTATGACCAATTTAATTTTAGTATTTTTTCAGCAATTTTTAACAAAAAATATGCTCTCTAATTTCACAATTTCGTACAAAATTCATAGAAAACTGTCGTTTTAGACAGTTCGAAAAAGTATTGAATTTGACTAGTTGTCAAATACCCAATTGGAGATGGAAAGAGGTCTCCTAATTTATCCAAGTTGGTTAGGGCATAAAAATTAAAAAGTTACATCGCATAGTAAAGGTTGCAGGGAGCCGCTGGATGTAATTGCGGTCAACATACTTGGGAACGCTCATGTTTAGCATTGGCACCCGCCAACTTCATCTTCATCTTCGCCACTTCATCATCATACAAGTGTATAAGAGGCGTGTCAAACAAGACGCTTAAAGATATGACCCGTGTGTCACGCGCTGGCCTTATCACACCTGTGTAGCATACCCTGGCCACGTAGCTAACACTACTCTACCATGATAAACAAAGACAATAAACATTAGACTGGACTTTAACCTTATCAAATTCAAGGTTATTCAAGTTCATATGTATTTATAGAGAGATAAATATGTATAAAGAATCATCAATCAGATCGATTCATTGTCAGTGCTACTGTTTACGAGATTGCGGTTTTCCCAGGTCGGGTAAAAGATTTTCTGTCATTGGGTTTATGGCAGCAGAGCGGGTCCATAGTGGACGTCACCGTTGCGTTCCCACAGCTAGCTGCGCGTGTGGAGAACTGGCGGGTGGACATGGTGGAGACCTTGTCGGACCACCGATACGTGTGGTTCGAAATCTCCACTCAGAGCCGTCCGGGAGAACATAGTATCGCCGATCCCCCTTTCCCCGGTGGGCTCTCACTCGCCTAGATCGGGAGGCTGCTAAGGAGGCCGCGTTCCTGCAGGACTGGCTTTCGCCTCATGCCGTCCTGAACGTTGCCGCTGTGGCTCAAATGAGAGGATCTCTGACCGAAGTGTGTAACTCGGTCTGGGTTTTTCTATTGGGAACTTCCAGTAATAGACTTGACCCTAGAGTTGGAGACCTCATGGTTTCCAGTTGGTTCAGTAGGAGTAAGCTTATTAGTCATAATATAATCAGTGAGATGTTGGTGTTGCAATTTCTACTTACCTCTTTAGAAAATAAAAGGTAGGTAATTTCTGGCAATCAGCCCATCTAATAATGTAAATGCGTAGGTTTGTATGTTTGTCTATTTGTGTTTTTTATGGGATATGGCGGTATACGAGCAGACAGATCACCTGATGGTAAGCAAGCAATCGGCGTCGCCCATGGACACCACAGGCGTTACAAATGCATTACCAGCCTCTTGGCATTTGAGGATTGTTGGAGATTCAGGGATTGGGGAAAGGGGGCGGGGGAATTGGGCTTCCGGTAACCTCACTCATACGACGAAACACAACGCAACGTTGTTTCACGTCGGTCTTCTGTGAGGCCGTAGTATCAAACCGGTCGGGCCGGCCCATTCGTGCCGAAGCATGGCTCTCCCACACTTAAACTGTGTTACTCTTTCACGTCAAACCGGCTGAAGAGATCGGGTTGAAATTTGGACCAGCGGTATATAATGACCTGGAATAACACATTGGCTATTCCAGGAACTTACTTCTAGAATGTGTTATTCACTATTCATTACGCTTATATTACGCTTGCGAAATCTCTGGAAGAAGTAAGTAGCTCTTTAAAATATGTAGGAACAAGGGTATTCAGGAATACGTTTCAGAAGGTAATAAATGGCTTCCATTACCTTCTCATTCTGTCCTTAAGGAGTCTTCAAGTGTCCACTTGGAGCCCCTTAAAGTCCAAGTCCCTTTGATAAGCCATGGATTATGATAAGATGAGATTACCATTGATAGATTGATACACTCAGAGATCATGATAAGGTTTTCTATCATGCAGCTGCAGTAGTCACGATGGCTTATGTCTAAACCGCGTGACCTTTATGATGTTCTGTAATAATTATTATTAATATAATTAGTTATTCTAATTTCTTTACTGCCTCATTGGCTGACTGCCGGCAAGGGGTCTCAGTTCAATTTCCAGGTATGGCAAAGTATAATTGGGTTTTTTAAATCTCAGTAGTAGCACAGAGTCTAGATTTGTGCCCGGTATATGGCAAAAGGCTCACCCCCCATTACATGGGACTCATAACATAAAGTAGATTGTAAGTACATTGTACAGTGGTATTGAATTAGGTGCCGTAATGTGCACCTCTGCCTTCCCCTTCGGGAATAAAAGGCGTGATGTTATGTCTAATTTATTTATCTATAGATTCTATATTTTTTATTAATGGAATTAGCTTTGTTGAGTAACAAAGCTGCACAACATAACCATGCTATTTATCGTTTATCTTATTTCCTTACTAGTTTGTGCTCGCGACTTCGTACGCGCAATCACATTTTCTCCCGTTCCCGCAGGATTTTCAGGATTTTTTCTGTCATCAGAACCTTCTCCTGACAGTAACAAATACAAAAAAAAAATAGTGAAATCGGTCCAGCCATTCACGCGTGAAGCCGTGACCAAGGGAAAAAGGGATTCATTTTTATATATGTATATGTATATATAGATAGATTAAAGGGATAGACAACGTAATTAAGCTCGCAGGGAGCTGGATACAGGTATTTCCAACTGATATTAAAAGCCAGTTTTGAGCAATCACTCAAATTATTCAAAACTACTAGAAGTAGCTACTTACTAAGAATTTGCAACGAAAAAACCCGATAAAATCGTACGACCGTCTTCAGTGAATTCATGAATTAGTGTAGAGCTAAAAATAAATTATCCTCATAACTTGTTTTGGTGTTATTATTAACTTGTATGAACTTATATGCACTCATAGAACGAGTCACCGATGAAAAATATTGTTTGTCCTTCAATATTTACTAGCAGAAATGACCTTATGTACAGTCAAAGATCAAAAGTCCACTGCCACCGTGAGTGATGTTCACACGGCAATGCGTAAGTAATTTCATATTAATTTGCATTCACATAAATATGTGTGTATGTGTGTATAAGCGCTACAGCGCAACCGATAGTAGTCCTACGGTGGCAGTGGACTTTTGACCTTTGACCGTACATATTATGGTACCTATAATTTACCTATTATAATGAGACTGCCTCGTTGGCCGAGTGGCCGTA